GATATAGGAGATATGCGATAATTAGTAATTTGGACAAATCTTTTAATGCTCTCCTTTTGGCTTCAAACTTTGTGGGCAGTCCAATGGAGTGATACTATAGTCTGTTTTGATCGGTAACCTATGTGCAATCCGACAGACTCTATATACAAACATTAATATAATTAATAAAAGTCCAGTCGCATCTTTCACTGAAGCGTTTAACATGCATTTTGCAATAAAAAGTATTATCTGAGTGGTCGACAAAGTTGAAAAACAACATAGCTTATGTTAGGAAATGTCTTTTGTTCTAGCATCAAAACTATACCTCCGTTACCTGCATGCATTAACATCTATGTTGGTGGTTGTTTATTAAAAATAATATGAAGTAAAATTGAAGTGGTGACGGAAATTGAACGATTGCAGGCTTTCGACACAAGTGGTGACGGAAAAGTGAGTTATGAAGAGATTAAGCCCGAAATACTTCGCCGTACAGATGGATTCACTTTGAAGCAGATGTTCAAAGCGATTGACTTTGATAAGGTAAAGATTACTCTAAGCTCCTTATTCTTCAGAAATCGAAGAACCTTCTTTTCCTCATGTGTAAAAAATAGAAGAAAAAGATAAACCTCCAATACTGGCATCATACCTTCAAGATCTGGGTGAGAACAATGAGTGAAATTTTGCAAACGCAGTTTTAGTAAAAGATTTACTGCTTTGGCAATGAAGTCCTAGTCTACTCACAATCTTTGGCTTCTTCTACAGTTTCAAGTTCAATAAGTTTCGCGTAACTTCTATTATGCTTTTCCCTTCAATCAAGAAAATTTTCCAGGACTATCATCTAACGCCGCAAGAATACCTAGCGCTTTTGAACGAACTAAAGATTCAAAAAGAGGTAATAATTTATTTTTTCCGATGGATTACAGGCAAGGGTTAGAGAATTTGAACTTCATTTGAATCTTTATTTGTGTTGAGCCAGTAGGGCGAGGATTGTTTTAGGAAGGAGACTCTGGTGCTCCAAGAATTATAGAACCAAGAGATAATGCTATCCCTCTTGACAAGAAGAAACGTCATCAGGGAAAAACAGGAGCACCCGTGGCTAGCAGTGATGCGAAGGCAAGTCCAGGTTCGACTGCTACAGATAGGGCATCTTCCACAAGTCCATCCGGCACAGCTTTTGCTTCCGCGCAAGTTCAAATAAGGGATAAGAGAGATGCAACAAATGGTAGGTCGTTTCTAATTCTAAGGGTTAACAAACAATATTATTAGAATTATCTTAACGATTAGTAGTACAAATGTGCGCACTGAAAAAAGTACCAAACGAGGTACTTGGTTGGCTATACTAAGCAAGTGAAGAATATGCTGGTGATTTCCGCCTGAAAGGCTGATCTCTTACCTTACTTACCTTTAAAATATTTTTCTAAAAGATGATCGAAATAGTTTCTGATATAAGTTGCGCTTTCAGCCAATCAGTGCTCGGAATCTCACGGCTTACCCGGAAGCGATCATACGAAAGTTGATCAATTTTTGCCAATCATGAGTTTTCGACCGATATTTAGAATTCACACTAGGTTTTCGTGCAAAAAGTGCAAAGCCGTGCACGCATCTTGTGGCGGAAACAACAAAACTTGCTTAATTGTTCAGAAGAAGAGCGAGGAGGTTTTTAGAGTTTTGAGGCGCATCTTACTAACAACACCGTTCATAGCTGCAAGAAAAACGCAACTTTATATGGAAATCTGTCGCAAAAGTCGCATGGTTAGACTGTTTCAAAAATTATTTTTATTTTCTAAAATATTTTCCAGGAAAAAAAGAGCAACTACTTAGTTTGTTGAGGCATAACTATTGATGTGTTACAGTATCGTTCTGTTCTAGATACAGTAGGTGCACAACACAAGAACTTGGTTCAAGTTTGCTTTGGGTATTTGACATGGTGATCACGAAGGACGTATCCACACGGCAGTTTCTGTTGTGATGAAGCTGCTATATAAAAAAAAATTAATTAATTTTTCATAATCAATTGAAATCATTTATGCTACAGTCTCATGTCATCAAAGCAGCACATCGGTGATGTCTTTTTTAATGTGGAACAATTGACTCTAGTTGAATTAAAGGTGAAGTTTAACAAGCATCATCCGTTGAGATGAAGCGTCAGGTGCTGACACAAGCGTGTTTGGTCGAGGCGACGCTTGTCGAGAACGATAGATAGTTATCTAGAATCGTCCGTAATCCCCCATTTTGCCACTTCTCATTTCGTCTAGATCTGCCTCTAAGGTGTTTAAAATTTAAGAATCAGATGGTGCTACTGAACCCTGCAAGTGGTTGGTGTACTCGAAAATAGTAATTGATACGCCTCTAAACAGTACTTCAAGCTAGAGCTTCTTTCGCGTCAGAGCTGTAGAATGGAATAGGCTTACTTCTTCTCTATGTCCAAGCAGTTGCACAAGCATTGGCCATGCAGTAGATATCGAGAATCGGTTAGCACACAGTGCGAACCTTCCCCGAGACCTTCCGGCTTTAAAGCTTTGAGAGCGTTTAGGAAATTTAACCAAAATCTGCCTTTGAGAAACGTTGTAACTTGTCATGTTAGATGAATGTGCTACGCTCTTAGAATGCTAGCGTATACAATCCTTTACAATTTCTGAAAAAAACAGTGTTACGATATGTATTACCAAAGAGAAGAATATACATCAGAATTGGATGTTTTCTTTGAATCGCATATACACCGTTCTTAATATCGAGTTTGTCAAGGCAGAACTCATGGTACAAGTTCAAAGGGGTAGATGTGTTTGGAAAATTTGACTTATACATTATTGGCATGTTTTAAAAGAATTTCTTATCCGCACGCTAAATTATTACCTCTTAGTGATGCCGTTCTCACTGAATTAATCTTATCGTCTACCATTTCAATACTACAATAGGGACTGTCGTGAACTAATGTTTTTTGGATTTCAAATAACCGCTAATTCGCCTCATTACTGTATACCGTATAACTCCACACAAAACCTCAGCGGAATCCCCGATATTTTGGAATTTTAGGACTAAGGATGTCAATGACGTTACAAAACACATTATGCTTTCTGAAGCACTATGCACAATTCCTGCCCAAAATCGCAAATCTTCGTATGCTGAACTTCGCCCTATGGGAGAATTCGCTGATAACGAATATTAATTATATCAGCTTCATTCGCTAAAGCCTTGGTAAGGTTCCGTAGGTAATTCACAAAAGGCCGAAATCACAGATCTGCATTGGAAGTAGTGGTGGGACATTAACATATTGAATCACCATCAATTCCGCTCGGCATTTCATTATGAAAATAC